CACTTCTACATACAAGGAAATAGAGATTGGATTACTTCAACTGATACTAACTGATCCAAATAAATCAATTGTTTCACAGTTAAGGAAGTGCCAAGACATCAACCCTAGTGACATACAAGGAACTGAGTTAAAAAGGTGATATGTTTCCTCATGCCGTGAGACTGGGTTTGTTGATCAAGACTGCATATTTTACCAGTTAACATTTTTTTCAGCCATGGTTGAGAAAAAGGACACCACTTGATGGCTGTATGTTAAGAAACGTTCAAAACCAGAAACAGTCAGACCTCCTATGTTACTATTGTTGCTTCCTATATCACTTGAAAACACAACTCTTTATAAGGTTAAAAACATGAATGTATTACTTTAAAAACATTGTTTCCTTTTGCTTTGACACTGGTTTAAATATAAAGAAACATTTCAAGGCCTTTTGACGTTTCATTCATCTGGATTTTGCATCTGTTGCATTTGTTTATGTATAATTCAACCCGGTATCACGGCAAGACGTGAACATGTGACGATCTACCATGCTGGGAGACTTGAAGATGTCGCGATTTCGTCCCTTCAAACGTGACAGTTACACGGTATTGTTAACATGGCCCAACCAGTGGAGAAATACCCGGAAGTGCCAAGCAAATGCTCTACCACGACGGTCGGTTGTTATTGTCAATATTAATATAATAATTATTTAATTTTTAATAGTCACACTCGATTTCGCCGATTTTCTTGTTGCCCCAGCTGGTCGACACCTCTTTTAGCAGAAACAAAGGCTACATTAATGTATTACGTGCGATTGCGTTGCCAGGCAACAGCTTGGGTTCATGTTCATTTACAAACTCTTCAACTAGAACCCTAGTTATATTTAAAAACATTTTAGAAGGCCTCACGAAATACTTTAAAGGGGACCTATCATGCAAAATGCACTTTAGTACGTCTTTTCTACATGAATATGTGTCCCCGGTGTTCCAGGGAACTCACCAAGTGTCAGAAAACACAACCCTCTCTATTTTCCTCCATACCCAAATCTCTAAAAAAGGGGCTGCAACGGATCTGATAAAAACTGATCCAGATTTGAACACTGTCCTGACGTCAGGACGGTGGCGCTACGGCTATTGGGCCAACTCCACCAATCAGGAGGAGACAGCCACGGCCATTGCCGTTCGAAAGCGCTGGAGACGCTGTAGTACATATGCCAGGCCTGTAGGTGGTGCTGTTCTCACAGAATCTGCCCTTGCGAAAACAGGGGTAAAAAAGTGCAAATTGAGCGAAATGAGGCATGGCTAAAATGCATGATCTGTTTGGTATTTTGAAAAAAAAAAAGTATAAATATGCCTTATATAGGTATGGTCCTACACTATATTATTCAAATATAGCATGATAGGTCCACTTTAATGTAAATTAAAATGTAAATGTGAAGGAATGTGTGTATAACAAAATACATCCGTCATAAACAATACCGGAAACAGACGTAGGCAAGATCCTCAGCTCGGTGATTGGATGGTTTAGCACGTTGGGTTATGGTGTTTATGCGATGTGAAATCCGAAAACAATTAAAAAAATTAAATAATACTTTATTCCGAGTGTGCTTGCTTTTCTTTTTAAAAGTCATCACATAACGGCATTGTAATACACGGTTCGGCTGCATTAAATATTGCACATCTGCCGTAGTTCTTTATTGATAGAGCCCTGATGAGAAGACTTCTGGACAAACTGGAAGAAGTGCCGCCGAAACTGAATACGTGACGTGGATCATAAATATATCAGCAATTAAACAACATCTTCAATTTCTCTTCACACAATACGTCTCCTTCCAGTATCAATACTAATTCGGCTGACTTTTATATTTGATCCAATTGGTTATATTTACACCATAACGGTGCACAGCTGATAGAAAGGGACTTTTTGGTGTCTATATCTACGCCGGGATCCTGAGTCGAGGCTGATCCTGTTGCTGCGGTCCTGTGTCCTGGATCCTCTATCCTGAGTTCTGGATTTGAGTCCTGGACTTAGAGCCGTGGCTGGGCCTGTCTCTGCGGTCCTGCCTGGCTCTCATCATCCTACGCTGTAAAATGTATTATCTCTTCAATTTACACACGGCATCTATTGCACGTCTGTCCGTCCTGGGAGAGGGATCCCTCCTCTGTTGCTCTCCCTGAGGTTTCTCCCATGTTCCCCTTTAAACTGTGGGGTTTTTCCTTTTTTGGAAGTTCTTCCTTGTACGATGTGAGGGTCTAAGGACGTAGGGTGTCGCATTGTCATACTGATATTCGGTACAAACTGTGAAGTCCACTGAGACAAATGTAACATTTGTGATATTGGGCTATATAAATAAACATTGATTGATTGATTGAGAGAGGAGAGAGGAGAGGAGAGAGGAGAGAGGAGAGGAGAGAGGAGAGAGGAGAGAGGAGAGAGGAGAGAGGAGAGAGGAGAGAGGAGAGAGGAGAGAGGAGAGGAGAGAGGAGAGAGGAGAGAGGAGAGAGGAGAGAGGAGAGAGGAGGCTCTCTGGAGGAGCTATAACAGAGGGTACACTGATGGTTCCTCCGTGGATGTATTTCCAGCTACAGAGATGTTTCAAAGAGTCGTGGCGCACGGCCAGACTGATCTCAGCCAATGACTGCTCTGCAAACTGCTGGATATTATTTTATTAACTGCTTGAATCAGACGCGATGACACACACACACACACACACACACACACACACACACACACACACACACACACACACACACACACACACACACACACACACACACACACACACACACACACACACACACACAAGCCTGATAAACACAGGAAACAATGTTTATTACATGAATAACCAGACTGAGAAGTTTTCAGGAATGTTTGCGTCAGTCTTTAGAGGCTGGACGAGCAGAAACAGCATAAAAACAGACGGAGCGAGACACAGCGCCACATCAGAGCTGCACCTGCAGGACAAGGACCTTGAGAAAAGCAACGGCTGCCCCAGACCTCCAGGACCAGGACCTTAACAGAAGCATCAGCTGCCCAGGACCTCCAGGACATCCAGACGGTGAGTCTCCACTCATGTTTCTCCTCACGGTCCTGCATCTCCGTCAGGAAGCCTCCTGTGACTCGGTGCGGGGACCAGTCCCCTCAGAAACACTGAGAATCCTGAAGAGAGGTCCGTGTGAATGCTGAATGCTGAGCTTTCTGAGTAACGTACGGGGAGCAGGTAGCAGCTGTTCAGTTTCTCCATTGACTTCTGTAGTGAAATGTGGATGAATTATGGTGAATATTATTCATAGCATTCCTAACTGAGATTAACGTTTTGATGTTTGAACCGAGATTGTGGGTTGAAAATGTGGAAGTAGTTAAGGTACTGAAAAGTGTACGGAAGACTAATAGAGGTAAAGACTTTTTGCTGTAGAAGAACGTACATAGTAAAACTTAGTAAGTTGTGGTAACTTTAAAAAAGTACGTAAACTCATTGCCTCACAATAACTAAGGTAAGTTAGTATGGTGAGTAGGGACAACTTGTTTATTAAGTACTAACACAACACTTTTAAGTTGTAAAAAAACATTCATTGCATTAACTTAAAGGTCACCTATCGTGCTTTCATACATAAATATGTGTCCCCGTGTGTCAGGAGACTCACAAAGGGGCGTGGCCAGCAGCAGCTCAGGTACGTTGGAAGCTACTGACCCAGAATCAGCTCTTTAGTCACAGGCCTGAAATAGAGGGGGATGAGGCTGCAATGATCTGTTTGGGCTTTGGAGCAAAGCACTTCAGAGACATGTTTTTTATATCTCTGAAACCTATAATATATGCCTAAAAATAGTATAACAGGAGACCTTGAACATATACCAAACAGTTGGCTTTATTGCTAGGTTCAATAAGTGAACAAAATGCACTTTAAACATGTCATGCAGGAGTAAGACAATGATTTAAGTAGGTACCTCCATATGATTATTGTGAATACATGATTAAAGGTTTCAGCCTAACTCTCTGAAACATGTCACACATCACTTGTGGATTGTTATATTTTATAAATCTAAAAGTGTTCATTCATCTGAAGCACTTTGAGAGCATTATCAATAGGATATAAATATGGTGTGCTCTTGTAACAAGTGTGTGCATTTGTAAAGCATTGAAACAGAAACACACTGATTGTATAACTATTAACGCTAACGACACAGAAAGAAAGTTACATCTACACATCACGGTGGAATTGGCATTACTCCTGAAGTTACTCGTGCACAGTGCTGCCCCTGACAGAGTTGGCCCGTTCTTTACATAACGTGTGAAAGTGTGTTCATTGGATGACAATAGTGAAGCTGAGGGAAATGATTTCCAGATATGTGTTCAGTTAAAAACCACCAGTACGTCTTCTTATATCAATGTCTCAGTTTTGCTCACAGCCTCTTTGCATCACTAAACTGGTGACATCAGGGAATCAGTCAGGGAGCATTTGACGGGTTTAGAGAACATTGTTTTGAATCTTCAGGAAGTGTATGAACCACTTCCTGCCGAGGACCCTTCATTGTGTACGCTGTTAATGTGTGTTATCGTGCGTTAACCCAGTGTTTGTGCCTCTTCCTCTGTGCAGAGTCATGAAGCTGCTCCTCCTGCTGGCAGGTAAGCAGCATCGCAGGCTTCACTGTGACAAACAACATGTGTTTGAAAGGCATTATGAATGCATTTCAAAGTCAAGTCCTCTGTGCATAGAGTCACTGCGAGTGTGTAATAGCCCCGCACTACTCTACTGTCTTCTTTGTGCAAATAAAACAAGATAATGTTTGAATGATAGACTTTTAAAACATGAGCTCATCCATGAAATCAATATAAATGTGAACGGGTAGCTCTTATTCAACATGTTGATGGCTTCAGTTAATGAGGGGGTTAGCCTTCAACCACTTGTATTTATGAATGAAACAGAACCCAGATACCCTGTATACATTCACCCTGAAGGAGCACATGCTTTACAGAATACATAAGTATATCATTATTCACTCATTGCACTGATGAGTGTCACTTCAAGTCAGAGGAGAGACTTCAGGGAACGATGAGTGTTCAGGTTGTTCTTGATGGATGTGTTTCTCCTGGAACTCCTGCAGTTGCTGCCAGCCAGATGGAGCTCTCTGCCTCTCAGAGAGGTACTCTGAATGCTCCTGGTGGAAACATCAACATCAGCGACGTTCCCATCACTTTCTATGGAAAAACATACACATGGTTACACGTGAGTACAATGAACCCCTGCCTGTGTTTCCTGTGATCATCCAGCACACACACTGACTGCTGATGACTGGTATTATTACACATACTACACGTACTACACGTACTACACATTGTCAAGTTATGATCTTGTCTTCCTGATTGACTCCTGCCTAAACTTGAAAATGGCCCGATTCCCTCCAAAAGGACACATGGGACAACTCAGATTTGCATCATTCCTCTTTATTTTGAGTTATTGCAGAATTATTTCTGCTTCATTTAGCCTCTTGATAGCCTTCTGATGCTTCATTCAGGTTGAAAACCTTAAACACAAAACATACTTTCATTCACTTCATCTCAAGTTATAATTAAACTTAACACTTAAACAAAAATAATTGCATCTCAACAAAGTAAATTATAATCCAGCATTTTATGTTTTAGCTTAACTTCATAAACTAGAAATAATAATTCATCTTAATAAAACATGGTTCCAACAGAAAAATACATTTACAAAATATATCACCAGCAGCGTCTTTGGTTGAATCCTTGAGTCTTTCTCCTCTCCCAGTGAATTGTTTGCTTCTCTGCTGAGAGTGTGCCTTCCCAGGTGTGTTGCATTAAGCTCCTTAACTAGGAGTGGCACACTCTTCCTTTGAGCCACCTCCTCAGTGGAAGCACAGACCCTAGGCTCCCTGTCTCCACCTGCTGGACTGGAGCCAGATTTAGATTTCTCTGGCTCTGCCAAAACACACATACTACACATATTACACATATTACACGTACTACACGTACTACACGTACTACACATACTACACATATTACACATACTACACATATTAAAGGTATATCTGTGGTTTAGATAAGGTATAGATATTACAGATATTACACATAACTCACTGTTTAATATGTACTAACTCACTGTTTAATATGTACTAACTCACTGTTTAATATGTACTAACTCACAGTTTAATATGTACTAACTCACTGTTTAATATGTACTAACTCACTGTTTAATATGTACTAACTCACTGTTTAATATGTTATAACTCACTGTTTAATATGTACTAACTCACTGTTTAATATGTACTAACTCACTGTTTAATATGTACTAACTCACTGTTTAATATGTACTAACTCACTGTTTAATATGTACTAACTCACTGTTTAATATGTACTAACTCACTGTTTAATATGTACTAACTCACTGTTTAATATGTACTAACTCACTGTTTAATATGTACTAACTCACAGTCCTCAGAATCAGTCACGAGTGTGTTTGTCTTGATCTTATTTATATATAGATGTAAGCGGTTTGTTACCTTTCAGCGTGTCAGCCTGTAAATATGGGAGCAAATGAATAATGACATGTTGCTAAAGGCAGAGAATGAATTGAGTATTACACACAAAGTTTAAAGTGTGTGCTTTTTGTGCCAGCTGTTATTTTGGGTATTATAAAAGTTTCCCCTCATATTATTCAATATCAGACGCACTGAGACAGGCTTGGTCCCAGAATGCATCACTGTGAGTCTGGTCCGGAGCTGGAAAGTGAGCGTAACATTTCCCTCTGGGGTCTATGGGGTCTATGGGGTCTATGGGGTTTATGGGGGTCTATGGGGTCTATGGGGTCTATGGGGTCTATGAGGTCTATGGGGTCTATGGGGTCTATGAGGTCTATGGGCTCTATGGGGTCTATGAGGTCTATGAGGTCTATGGGGTCTATGGGGTCTATGGGGTCTATGGGCTCTATGGGCTCTATGGGCTCTATGGGGTCTATGGGGTCTATGCGGTCTATGGAGGTCTATGGGGTCTATGGGGTCTATGGGGTCTCTGGGGTCTATGGGGTCTATGCGGTCTATGGGGTCTATGGGGTCTATGGGGTCTATGGGGTCTATGGGGTCTATGGGGTCAGGCACTGATCAGATCAGTTCAATGGAGTGGGGACAGATCAGTACTAGAGCCAACAGGAAGTGGTTTGGAGCAGCTGGACGCGTCTCTTTGATTCCACATGTGTCTCTGTATGAAAGGAGACATAAAGACTTGTTGGACAGTGGCTTGTAGAAAGCTTTTTTCCAAAGTGAGAGAAATGTTTTGATCTCATAATTGATCCTATCCTTTTTCTCCGTAGCTCAAAGCACACCTTGCAGCTCAGACATTTGAGGAGATGAAACGATGCTGTTCTGGAGCGAAAGCCTTCATATTGTAGTTCCTTTTTTTGTTTTTGCAGGTGAAGATGGGCAATAGGAATGAAGTTTGTTTAAAAAATGACCCATCTGAGGACGACATTGACTGTGTGGTGACCAACGAGGGGGTGGCTTCAAACAAAGTGGACTACAGTATAGAACCTGGATCATTTCCCCCTCACTCTTCTCTTGTTAACATCAAAACCCAGGCACAGGGTCTCGTTGATCTCAAGTTCTTCACTGGTGCTACACAGAATGTGAGTCCTGATCCGATCCCTGTTACACACTGACTGGCTGTCCAGCTGTTTGTACAAAATGAACATTTCAAAGACATTTTGTGGCAAAGACAACTTCAAATCAGTAAGTTTATTTGTAAAATGTTGGAAGCATTTCCTAATATTTCTCTCTCTGTTCCTGCTTTCAGATGGATTGGGAATTCTTCAATTATGGTTTACAAGCTGTTTGCGGGACATATCTTCTTGGTGGCCGTCCGTTTTCTGCTAGTTTCGTAAGTATGACATGAGGCTGTTACCTAACCCTAACCCTTCAGCCTCACCGATGTTTAGAGTTACCATTTGTCAGGTCCCGATACCAATGCAATGTTGTCCTGTTTGTTTCTGTGTGCCAGGGAAACTCATATCCTAAATGCTTTCTGTTAGAAAGCTGCTGTCTTCCAGCCTTCCTCACACTCACTCTGAATGAGAACTGATCCCTGAGAAGACTTCTGTACCCTAACCACCCTGAGAAATGAGAACTGAGGCTGTGTGTGATCCATTATTCCTTTGTATCACTATCAGACATCATTCATATGAATACAGAACCAGCTTTCAGTTCAGCATGGATAGGTGAATGGAGAAGATCAAGTGCAGTCTGTTTGCTCCTCTAAGCCTCTCCTTTGAAAACTCTCTTCTTATTTTCACTTCTAAACAGAGATAGGTGTCAGAAATAATGTCATCCACAGCCTTAGAGTTTCAGGAAGCAGAAGTCACTCAGCATCATGTGTCTGAAGACAAAGAGAGTTCTTATCAGTGACACATGTAGCTGCTAGCATGCAGAGCTAACGGGGGCAGGCTGGACTCACAGCACCAGGGGCTGGTGGTTCTGCTCCTTCCTGCCCTCAAGTGGACAAAGGAGTTCATTAGAAATATCAATCTGGAATAATGAAGAAGCTCACCACTGCTCTCACTGTTACTTCATGTCCTAACATCGGAGGAAATATATCAGAAGTGGCATCTATAGAACACTTTCATTCATGTGTACAGTGTTGAGGTTACCTTTGTTTTCACTGATTGTATTTACTTGTTATTTTAAATGTGTTTTTAAGGTTCAAACATCTGTCCAGGGACTACAGCTGTAAAAGAGCCTCTTGGCTAACTCTGGCACATTTACAGAAATGGTTCTTAGTGTGCAATGTCCCTGTTAAATAAATAATATGCATACAAATACATTCTGTTTAATCCTTTACTAGAACATTTCTACAACAGTCGGTGGCACAGTGATGGATACCTGGGAGCCTCCTGCAGATGCAGCTACTTATCGAGACCTGAGTGGATGCAGAGGCTCAGGTAAGCTGGTCTGGGGGTTCCCAAAGAAAGGGATCCTCTAAGTCAGGGCTCTCCAACACGTCGATCGCGAGCTACCGGTAGCTCGCGGGCAGCTTTTCAGTAGCTCGCCGCTCGATTATCGATGATAGCGTAAGGTTGCTTATTGATTTTTCGGCCGCGGGTGGACAATAAAGTTTTTTTATTTTAGAATTTTTTCTGTCACACGAATATCAAATGGTCGGTGACGCAGAGATCAAGGAACAGACGTGACAGCACCACAGCGACAACACACACGGAGCAGTCTGCTTTCTCCACCAGCACCAGTCCAGAACCAACAGCAGAATGACCCGCTCTGAATCAGGCCCTGTCGCTGCGGCTCAGAGACACACAGGGAGGGATTTGTGTTTTTTGAAAAACACTCGTTATCGTCATGTCAAGTTTTTGGTGGATGTAATCAAGTCTTGGATTGCAGAGTATGAATGTCCTCTTGTTATTTTCAGTTGATAAATACTTGTGTAAAGTTTGTGAAGGCAGGAGGAAAGCTTCCGCGATCACCGTCTCCTCTGTTCCTCCAAACCCCGCCCCCTCCCTGAAAATAATGAGTGACAGGCTGATAGTGACCCGATAGAAACTTTATTATTCACTTAATCACTGATTGAGATATGATGAAGCTAACTTAATCTCATACATTCATGGGATTTATGTAACAGTAAGACAGAGAATGTAAGTGTTTTTTGACAGAAGACCGTTGCTAGAAGCTGCAGCTAGACTGCAGAAGTATTCGTTTTTTGTTTTTGAGGATGGAACCATTTTCACACACAGATATAGGGAGGCTAGACCTATACAATTGATTTATTATGGTTTATAATTTAATGTCAAGACGAAGAAGAAGAAGAAAAAGATGGCTGAACAACTGTTCAGTGTCAATCCTGTGGAGATCTCCAAAATAATGTTCAGCTTAAGTCTCAGCAAAACTCACAACATTTCTGGAGCCTTGTAGACCCAGAAAACTATAGAACATTCACCAAGCAGCACTGAAAATGTCTGCTTTATTTGGTTCTGTTCTACATACCTTTGTGAAGCAGCTTTTTCTGACATGAATGAAATCTAAATACAGAACAATACTGACTGATGAACATTTAAATGACTCTATTAGAGTGAACCTAAGTGGGTCCAGCATACACCTGTATGGTGGACTCCATGCAGTGCCATTCATCTCACTAACAAAAGAGTGACATGCTTGTAAGGTGGTGATTAAGGACATTTATGTGAATGTTCAGTGATGTACTTATTATGTGGGCCATAATAATATGTGAGAAATCTTCGTTTTCTTGGACCTTGATGTGAAGTTAAGATTTGTGATAAGCTTTAGGTATTGCAATTTCACACGTGTACAAAAGTATAGCTTAATTCAACTGATGAGGGCTATGTGAATAAATGTAAGCGATGTGATACAAGTAGCTCTTGGCCACTTTCATTTTTTGAAAGTAGCTCTCAGATGAAGAAAGGTTGGAGACCCCTGCTCTAAGTTAAATGTGATATTAAAACATGTCTGTTGTTTCCCTATCTTAAATTCTGCCTGTAGTTACTGAAGTGTAATATCATTACCTCCATTCTCCTCCAAGGTGGCGCTGTAATGCCGGGTTCAGAGATGCCCAACTTAGGGCCCAGCGCAGAGCCCTGCTCTGTTGAACTCTGTTCTCTGTCTGCAGTCGTCTCTAATGTCACTGCATGTGGGCCCGAGGAGGTTTGCCAAGCGGACAACACGTAAATATGTGCTCTTTATATCAGGAATAAAGGTCTGACTGATTTGAATAAAGTGTCCCATGTGATCGAACCCTCCATGAGAGAGTGAGGATATTATCCACCTGAGGATTATTGCAGTTATTGATGAATCTGTTCCTATTTCTATTACCCCTTTCCACCAAAGCAGTTCCAGGGTCAGTTCAGAGCTAGTGCCCGATAGCTCACCAGTCCTTTCATTGTTTCCATGAGCAAAACTGGTTGGTGTTAGGAACCAGAGCACTGCTGAACTGGAACCAAGAACCAGATCTGTGTGGAGGCTGGGTCAGATCACTAGAGCCGTAGAGATACGTTCGCTCTCACGGCCCGTTTTGAGGAGCAGCACGACCCGTTCTCCTGTTGTTTTCATACCAGCTTTCAGGTGTGATCACTACATACTGTAGGCTACACAAGTTTTCATATCAGATCACAAGTGAAATCCTATTGAAAGGGCGCCGGTAGAAAACGGAAAATGACTCAATGATAGCAACATGTACTCATACAAAGCATTTATGGTGAATAATTAAAACGCTGTAACCATCTAATGTTCATATCATGTGTTATATATTTTAAATAAGTTTAATTTAGTTTGTTGGCTCTTAATCTGGTTATTGCTTCTTCAGACTGGCTATGCTAACATCATCCATATGATACAGGGAAACGTTTGGCAGTTAACGTCAAACATTGTACATTAAAACTGAACAAAATATGAATCACTGGGGAAATCTGCATCTGTTGCTTTAGTGACAGTCAGCAGTGAATTACTGACTGTCACTAAAGCAACGGTGAATGCCTCTGAATCCTAGTGGGAACAGTTCAACCTGGATCTGAAGAAGAGCAACGAGAGCACAGCTCCAATGCAGCAATATCATATTCCATTTACATGAATACAGACTTTTTGCATTACTTTTTATTTTTTAATTTTATTATATATGTTGCATCGTTGGAGGAGCTCAGGTCAGAAGAATGTCATATGACAATGAAACCTTTGAATTGAATGTTGAATTGAATGTCCATCAGGTGCGCTGAGGTTCCTAAGGCCCCGGTGGTGTGCACGGTGACGGGCTCCACGGTGATCGGTTTCCACGGAGCAGTGCACTCTGTCCAGGATCGCTGTGCCTACAGTCTGATGGAGCCTGAAGGCAGCGCCAGCTTCAACCTCATGGCCGCTTTCAGGGAGCGCCGGCGTACAGATGTTCCTCTTCTGGACCACCTGATCCTGTCGCTGCCAGGTGTGACCATGTATCTGGAGCAAGGAGGAAGAGTCCGGGTACGTTAGCACGTTGTAGTTATGGGGGTGTTTGCTCAAGCAATGCTGATCATTTCCTGCTAGGAGTTACTTTGTGGTGGTGTATCACAAACCTCTGTGTGTGTGTGTGTGTGTGTGTGTGTGTGTGTGTGTGTGTGTGTGTGTGTGTGTGTGTGTGTGTGTGTGTGTGTGTGTGTGTGTGTGTGTGTGTGTGTGTGTGTGTGTGTGTGTGTGTGTGTGTGTGTGTGTGTGTGTGTGTGTGTGTGTGTGTGTGTGTGTGTGTGTGTGTGTGTGTGTGTGTGTGTGTGTGTGTGTGTGTGTGTGTGTGTGTGTGTGTGTGTGTGTGTGTGTGTGTGTGTGTGTGTGTGTGTGTGTGTGTGTGTGTGTGTGTGTGTGTGTAGGTTGGTGGTGAAGCCCTGGTGCTCAGCAGCACAGCTCAGCTGATGCACGGCGTGGAGCTCTCCAAGGACCAGACTGGAGTCACTGCTAAGTTCCCGTCCTCCAACATGACTCTCTTCTTTGATGGCAACAGCGCACATGTGACAGGTACAGAACAGTACTTCCAATCTGGACTGAATATTACATATTTATTTCTGAATAACAGCTTTAATTCTACCCTCACATCCACCAGGACTTCCTGAAGCTGTAGAGGGTTTGTGTGGCAGCCCCTCCAACTCCAGCTGGACCACCACCCCGACTGCAGAGAAGTCCTCTATCAGCCTCCCTGGGTACCGCTCAGTCCGACTGATATGACCTATTTGTCATAATGTGGATTAGGGTTCAGATGTAATGTGATCTTTGTCTCCCTCTAGCTGTGAGATTCAATACCAGGACTCAGTCGACAGCGCCATCAACTGCAACATCTCCACCGACCAGTAAGAGCTGAGCCATGAACACCCTCGTCTTGTCATGTCATATAAGCAGCGTTGTTTCTGCAACATCAACCAATGTAACACGGAAAACTCTTCCCTCTGAACAGCTGTAATCTCATGAGGCAGCCTCCCTTCTCCGCCTGTCACGAGCACACCGACCCAGAGCCGTACATCAGCGCCTGCACACACACTCTGTGCAGATACCCGTCAGTGGATGGGGTCGACTGCCACTTTTTGGAGGCTTACGCCAAGGCCTGCAGCCTGGAAGCCAACGTGACCCTGGAGGACTGGAGGTCAACTTCTGGCTGCTGTAAGACCCTCTTTCACTTGAATATTCACAGTCGTTGTGGTTTAATACACAACTGGAAGTCCCTGTGTTTGTATAGTAGCCTGAGTATGGTCACATATACAGGATATATGTAATATGGATAGTGTGCAGTGTTTGATTCCACTTCATTCTAGGTTTATTACTTCATTCCTAGTAATAGTTTGTATAATCATTGTTATTAGTGATATTATTATGATAACTATTTAAAACTGTGTATGAAGGAAAAAATGGAAATTAAATTAAAATTAATAAAAGCATAGATTTTGTAAAATTAATTATTTTTATTTCATTTTAAATATTTTAAACTCGTCTAACTGTCATAGTTGGCTCCTCATGTTGGATGTTGTATTACGGTGTGTGTGATATCTCCTGTATAGATAGATGTTAATACATATATAACTTTTATCAATATATTTTAAATATATATTATTATAAATTGTTATTAATACTATCATGAGTTTTAGAATCCTTATCTGAGATCTGCCCACTAAGTGTGTGTGTGTGTGTGTGTGTGTGTGTGTGTGTGTGTGTGTGTGTGTGTGTGTGTGTGTGTGTGTGTGTGTGTGTGTGTGTGTGTGTGTGTGTGTGTGTGTGTGTGTGTGTGTGTGTGTGTGTGTGTGTGTGTGTGTGTGTGTGTGTGTGTGTGTGTGTGTGTGTGTGTGTGTGTGTGTGTGTGTGTGTGTGTGTGTGTGTGTGTGTGTGTGTGTGTGTGTGTGTGTGTGTGTGTGTGTGTGTGTGTGTGTGTGTGTGTGTGTGTGTGTGCAGCCCCCCCCCCTCTCTGTCAGCAGCCCTGCAGTGATCATGAGTTCTGTGGAGCAGAGATCTGGTCGTCGTCTCGCTGCTTCTGTCGGGCTGGGTTCTCCTCCAAGTACAGAGCCACCAAGTCTTTAGGTACGGAGCTGGAAGAGAGGCGCTCCTGAACGCATCACATGTTTCTCTAGAGACATTAGTAGTTATTCATATCATAAATCTAATATCATTATATGATAGGTCATCCTGACCACAGCCCCTGAATGTACTTTTCTTTCTTTGGACTTTTGGAGCTAACCATCAGTTGGTTATTTTAGCTCGTCTTCTCCCTGACAACGGTTAACTTGAAGTGTTGCTGTGTTTGCAGGCGAGCCGCCGGTCTGCAGGCAGGGCTCGGCCACTGTGACTCTGGCTGGATGTCTGCTGGCTGACAAAGGCATCGACTTCTCCACCTTACACCTGAAAGACCCCAGCTGCAAGGGCCACATGGACCCCCAGAGCCACCTGGTGACCTTCAGCTTCGACAGCAGCAACACCTGCGGGACGGAGGTCATGGTGCGTGCTTTCCTCACAACTTAAAACCAGTTCTGGTGTCAACCTCTTTCTAGTTCAGGGGCCACATACAGCCACATGTGATCTCCAGTGGGCCGGACCAGTGAGATCACAGCATAATGACCTATAAATAACCACTACTCTAAACCGTTCCCTTTTGGTTCAGTCCAACAAAGTGTATTCTTAAAATGATCACATTTAATGAACTATCTTTTTACAAAACATTAGGAAGTAATAGAAAGTAACAAAATACTGTTTCCCGTGTTTATCTTGCAGCGAGTAACCCTTACAAAAACAACAGAGCAACAAGAAACACTGACAGGTCCTAAAAGTGCTTTAGTGCCAGGAGGTTTCCTGCAGTGTCATCCTGAACATCAGTCTTCTCCACACTTCAGGAAACCAGTCGTTATAGGATAACCCTTTATCAAAGCTTCAATGCCACACTTTCCATTACAGGGCTCATCACTTCCTGTTGTCCTGTAGAGGACATGTCCCACTAGTTTCCTTTATTGATGAAAGAAGGACACACGTGATCCATGAACTGGATGATAAAGATATGGCCGTCTGGATGGAAATGTTCGGGAGTAATGTTTGCGCTGTGATCAAATGAACTGATTACTTTTTCTTTCACAATGCAGAAGAACGGCAGCCAGACCGTCTACGAGAACTCCATCGTGTCGAGCAACCGCTCATCAGGCGGCGTCATCACGCGCCAAGACCAACTCAAGATCGACTTCTCCTGCTTTTACAAACAGCCGGAGGTCAAGAGTGTGTCCTTCACTATCAGAGACAGGTGAGGGTCCTCCTGGTCCTTAATGCACCACAGCTTAACATTCACAATGCTGAAGAGTGTGTGTGTGTGTGTGTGTGTGTGTGTGTGTGTGTGTGTGTGTGTGTGTGTGTGTGTGTGTGTGTGTGTGTGTGTGGTGTGTGTGTGTGTGTGTGTGTGTGTGTGTGTGTGTGTGTGTGTGTGTGTGTGTGTGTGTGTGTGTGTGTGTGTGTGTGTGTGTGTGTGTGTGTGTGTGTGTGATGTGTGTGTGTGTGTGTGTGTGTGTGTGTGTGTGTGTGTGTGTGTGTGTGTGTGTGTGTGTGTGTGTGTGTGTGTGTGTGTGTGTGTGTGTGTGTGTGTGTGTGTGTGTGTGTGTGTGTGTGTGTGTGTGTGTGTGTGTGTGTGTGTGTGTGTGTGTGTGTGTGTGTGTGTGTGTGTGTGTGTGTGTGTGTGTGTGTGTGTGCAGCTCTGTGGTGTTCCTTGATTAACACGATGTTTAACGAGTTCCTTGATGAACACGATGTTTAAAGAGTTCCTTGATTAACACGATGTTTAACGAGTTCCTTGATTAACACGATGTTTAAAGAGTTCCTTGATTAACACGATGTTTAACGAGTTCCTTGATTAACACGATGTTTAACGAGTTCCTTGATTAACACGATGTTTAATGAGTTCCTTGATTAACACGATGTTTAACGAGTTCCTTGATGAACACAAAGCAGCAAAGTATAAACCATGACTCAGCAGTGTCTCTGTGTTCTCAGCTGATTCCTGACGGTGGAAATGAAGGTCTTGTTGCTGTGAAACTGAGCCGGCACATTATCTGAGATTATTCCTGAGGACTCCAGTTATTCTGAGTTTGAACTTCTTTATGATGTGGGGGAAATAATCAAAAGGGGTTCTTTTACTATGTGCACTAGTATATATATATATATATATATATATATATATATATATATATAATTTCTTCTTTAATATACTGTCTGTTTGTAAATGTGCACAGCCTGAAAGCTACCTGAGTGTTAAAGAAGGGAAACAGGAAGTGAATGAGAACTGAAATGTGGATGACTACCCAGGAAGAGGATCAGATCAGATGTAATTCCTCAGAGCACGCTGTTGTACTTTTATTATGATTGTATTACTATGAGCAAAACATGCATTACTTTATTTAGTCCAATGATAATAAGATTGAGATATGTAACATCTTTAGGGGAATAATAGAAGTGAAGCATACAGCAGCATTACGCAACAACATCCCCTCCAATGAAACACACAGGATCAGCTGATACGAGGAACTCCTACACAACACAAGTCATTCAGTGAAAGATCACCTCTCTGCCATTAGACCCAGATTAGATGAGACGTATTACCTGTCACTGCTGGCAACATCAGGACATATACGAGTACTGCTCAGATCAAATGACGGTATAGCCAAACATCGATGTATTATTTACAATGATCCCAATCCACAGCAACATGGTCTCAAACTCTACGCTCATTTGATATATTTGTTTTTCCAAGAATAAAATGAAGCGCAGATCAAAAATGAAAACACGAAGAAGCACAAAACGTCTTAACTTGAGACGTTGTGAGTTTTAAAGAAGTGAATTATTATCAGACTGAAGTCATTCCCAATGGAGAGGTTGTTGCACGCTGTTGTACCTTTACTAGGGTTGTATTACTATGAGCCAAACATACTTTACTTTATTTAGTAATACATGGATTATATTTAGAAATGTAACATCTTAATATGTGTCCGATGAAGAAAAGTGATCAGAAAAGGGTTTTATTAGGATGATTTTATTACTATACGCAGAAAGGTTAGGGTTAGTTCACCAAGTGATGTGACGTATGAATACCATTCAGTCATTGAGCAATTATATCTATAAATGTAACAATTAGATTTAGAAATGTAACACCTTAGTGAAATAACAGAAGTGTCTAATGAAGGGTTTAGAGGGGTTCTTTTACTATGTGCACTGGTATATATATATATATATATATATATATATATATATATATATATATCATTTCTTCTTTAATATACTGTCTGTTTGTAAATGTGCACAGCCTGAAAGCTACCTGAGTGTTAAAGAAGGGAAACAGGAAGTGAATGAGAACTGAAATGTGGATGACTACCCAGGAAGAGGATCAGATCAGATGTAACTCCTCAGAGCACGCTGTTGTACCTTTATTGTGATTTTATTACTAATGGAACCAAAAACAATTAATAAAGTGAGTGGGAAAAAGAAACATGAGTCTCAGTCGTTTAGTCATTGAGAGTGTGTGTGTGTGTGTGTGTGTGTGTGTGTGTGTGTGTGTGTGTGTGTGTGTGTGTGTGTGTGTGTGTGTGTGTGTGTGTGTGTGTGTGTGTGTGTGTGTGTGTGTGTGTGTGTGTGTGTGTGTGTGTGTGTGTGTGTGTGTGTGTGTGTGTGTGTGTGTGTGTGTGTGTGTGTGTGTGTGTGTGTGTGTGTGTGTGTGTGTGTGTGTGTGTGTGTGTGTGTGTGTGTGTGTGTGTGTGTGTACAGGAACAGCTCCTTTGCCACGTCTCATGTAGCCTGGAAGCACATCTGTCAAGAGCCATAATCTCTAGCTCCGCCTCTTTGGAGCTCTAGCTCCGCCTCTCTGGAGCTCTAGTGACGCTGACAAAATGGCGGACTTTACAGGAAATGACGTTGCCGTAGCAACCACAAACAACTAGTTTAAAGACATCTTAATGCTAGAGTCTATTTAAATAGATTTTAGTACTTGTTATTAACGAATGGAAATCACTTGGTTTCGATGCATTGGCATGAAGATACCAGCCAACAGTTTTTACAAATAAAATGACGTTATGACAAATCTGCTGAAGGGCTCTCCCCACTTACCTTTTTTGTGATGAACTATGATTGTTGGGCCCTGCTGAGCATCACCCTAACCCTCACTGTCAACCCAACCCATCAACTCTCAGAACACATAACATTTATAGGAAAATATAATTGAATACATGAATAATATATTTCAGCATATGAGAGTGAGAGTGGGGTTGGTAAAGGATATATCCTCACGGTTGTGATTCGGCCGTATGGCGAGTGCCGCAGTACTACGACATTAGCATGAGTTGTATGTATTGTATTGTACTATTAGTATATATCGTCCCAGTACTATGACATTAGCATGAGTTGTATGTATTGTACTATTAGTATATAGCATCCCGGTACTACGACATTAGCATGAGTTGTACGTATTGTACTATTAGTATATATCATACCAGTACTATGACATTAGCATGAGTTGTACGTATTGTACTATTAGTATATATCATACCAGTACTATGACATTAGCATGAGTTGTATGTATTGAACTATTGGTATATATCATCCCAGTACTATGACATTAGCATGAGTTGTATGTATTGTATTGTACTATTAGTATCATCTCAGTACTACGACATTAGCATGAGTTGTACGTATTGTACTATTAGTATATATCATCCCAGTACTACAACATTAGCATGAGTTGTACGTATTGTATTATTATATACAGATGGAGCATCTTATTTCAGACTCCAGCTTACTGCTTCCTGCCTGCTACCTGCCAGTTACCTGCCTAAGACCTGCCAAAGACCAGTATCTGGGAATGTTAAGCCCTCCCACTATTTTCCAAGAGGGCGTTGCCAGATTTTCAATTTTAGGATTTAACCAGGAGATGGCGCTTCCTTCACAAAAACAGGAAGACAACTTTTCATGGACTTTCAGTTTTATTTAGAAGAGCATTTGAACACATCAATATTTTAGATCAAATGAAGTATATCTAATCTTGTAATTCAATAATATATAGTCTTTATATATTAAATAACTATGGCCAAACTAAGACTTAGTTTTTCACAAGAGAAAATGCAGATATTATATAAAAAACTAAAGTTAAAATCTTGTTTTAAATGCCCCAAGAGCAATAAAAACACTTGGTAAAAAAATCCTGAGTGAGTCTTTCATAAATTGCATTTAGCTGACGCTTTTATCCAAAGCGACTTACTATTTAATACATGATAAATGATTATTCATAACAAATATGAGTGATGTGTGATTATTATTCATGCTATATACTGATATAGGGCTAAGTAAGCAATCAATCCTGCAAATTAACCCTTAGTTGTTCAATATATTTATTCAGACAATGTGAGTAGAAATACAGAAATTCTGCTCCCACCTAAGGCCAACGTTGCAATATTACAAATTCTCCAGAACTCACAGCTGGCCTATGTATAAGTCCCGACTCTCCCGACGGCCAATCCGTGCCTCCCCTGACTGCACGTTGCTGACACACACCGCTGCAAACTCTCTGCACGGAGGAGCCGCGGAGGAAGAGACACACGTTCACTAAGCCGAAAAAACTATATCCGGTCACAGTGATCTGCTATTTTAAAGTAAATTCAACACATATCGACCCTAAATATAGCATATATTAAGAACGAGAAAGTGTTAACATCGTTTTTTGTAAACATATGACAAATGTGCAAGGGTGATGACATCAGAGCATCGTCCTATGGGCTTAGCCCCGGACAGGTACAACAGGTATTCACTCAGAGGGGGGTAGATACTAAATGCCACCCATTTACATGTAGGCGAACAAAGTCAAAAATCAACATACAGTAGGGGGGTGGGGGATGGTGAACGGTATGTGGGTATGTGGGACACTGAAAAGTCTATGTTAAAAAGCCTCAGTCACCTTAATTCATGTAATAAAAACATCTCAGGTCAGTAACACTGAAAGCTAAATGTACAATACCATGTTCAGCTATGTTACTATTTATAATGTTATTGTTGTTACAACAGAAGATGTTTTTCTTTATATTGAAGTTAAATGCATCAATCTGGTGCACTTTGAGGTCAAAATTAAGAGATTTATGGATACCGCTGGAAAAAGCTGCAGTACATATGCCGAGCCTGTACGTAGCGCTGTAACTTCCTCCACAAAAGCAGCCTTCTGTTTATTCAACGTGGTGGGGGCCGAGGGAACCGGGCAGAGTTTTTCGCCGGTCAACGTGTGTGAAAGTTTAAATCTTCCTTATTGAGCTTTAAAAC